TTGGAGAAATGGCACTTAGATCATCTGGGCATTAAACATAATTAGGCGAGTCAGAAATTTGTCTTTTGGTTCATCTCACAATATTTTGGTTCAAAGGTTATTTAGTACATCAGTCAAGGTGATACACAGCTTTCCATATGGGAGAAAGTATAACCAGTGCTAGGGTTGAAAAACCATATTTTGGGGAGGATTTTGCCAGTTACTCTTTTGTTCTTGCTAGGTATAAATCAACTCAGTTAACGATCTCAACAGTATGTTGTGATGCTCTAATGCAGTGGTGGCGAACCTATGGCACGAGTGCCAGAGGTGGCACTCAGAGCCCTCTCTGTGGGCATGCGTGCCATCGCCCCAGCCAGGCCCAGACCATCATTAAAGTGTCGAATTCTCTGCCAAATAATTTTAAGTCAATGAAAGCATTTGGGATTGCTTTCCTTACTTTGTTTGGATCATCTTAAGTTAATGTATGAGTTATTTTTTCTAAAGTAAAACCTCAGTATTCAGGTTAAATTGCCGTGTGGGCACTTTGCGATAAATAAGTGGGTTTTGGGTTGCAGTTTGGGCACTCAGTCTCTAAAAGGTTTGCTATCACTGCTCTAATGGTATTTTGGTGTAATTTGATGCAAGAAAGACCAAATATAACATTCACAAAATGATTACAATGCGTGGTATACGATGGTGTCTTTCCACTTCAATGAGCTGCCAGTACCTAGATTTAGGCTCATGTAATCTCAACTTGCATGGATATAAACTGGTGTAGATTCAGGGTCTTTTGTATATCAACGTGGACTATGTTACTTATATCTAGGATATTCAGGATATAGGAATGTATGAATCTTCCCTAAATCATGTTGAACACGTAAAATCATAGGCTCAAAAAGTTGGAAGGGGCCTAAAGACCATCCGGTCCAACCCCCTGCACCATGCAGGATGGCCTCAAACATCCCTGACAAATAATCATCCAACTCCACTTAAATACTTCACACAGGAGACTGCCTTATATTGAGTCAGACAATTGGTGTATGCAGGTCAGTATTGTCAGTGGCTCTCCAGGGTCTCATGTAGAGGTCTTCCACATCCCCTACTACCTCATCCTTTTAGCTGGAGTTGTCCTTGACTGAACCCAGGACCTTTTGTGTGCAAGGCAGATGTTCTACCACCGATCCATGACCTCTCCCGATGTTGATTGATCTGGCTCAACATTATTTGCTCTGACTGGGGTTGGCACTTCAGGGGTTTCAGGCCAGGAAGGATATTTCCCAGCATCCACTACCTGCGGTTCTTTAGCCAAAGGTGCCCGCTAAAGCATCTTCTACAGGCGAAGGAAATAACTCTGCATCTGAGCCACAGCTTCATCACAAATTATTTCAACTTGGATAATAGACAATCATAGGCAATATGCCCTTGAAAATAATTTTATAGAGGAATGAGAGGTCATGGTGTGTATCTGACTTCATGGAGCAGGAATATCCTAACACACACACACCCCACTGCAGCCCACCAAGCCACTCAAAAATGTGTTCCTTAGGCCCTGACATGGATAGCCCAGGCAAGCCCGATCTCATCAGATCTCAGAAGCTAAGCAGGGCCAACCCTGGCAAGTAACTTGGAAGGGAAATACCAGAGGCGGGAGGCGGGGGCAGGCTATCAAGCCACTTCTCTGAATGTCCTCCATGCCCCAGTAGGAATTGCCAGACGTCACCATGACTTCCAGGCCCAGGCACTCATGCACACACATACACAAGTGCAAAAATAGAAAAAAAAAGTTCCTTAGGAACAGAATTGGGGAATAATGGAATAATCTGCTGGAATGGAATAATCAGCTGGAATGGAATAATCAGCAGAAACTACCATTCCCTCTTCTGCAAATGGAAATGCTGTTCCATCACAGGTACTACATGACTGAATATAGGCACAGTTCCCCAACTTCTCTGTTACCTGTAATGTTTATTTAGCTAATGCATTTTTTTTTATCCTGCCCTTCCTCCAAAGAGCTCAGAATGGAGAGCATGGTTCTCCCTCAGCTGACAGGGAACAACTTGGCCAAGGCCACCCACTGAATTTTGCAGCCTCCCAGGCCCTACTCTCACACTCTAACCCATTAGGGAAGCTCCGTGAACATCTAATTGGATTGCGCTGGATACGCTGAGGACAATTACTTGAGTGTTGACCACAAAGCTCCTCTACTTTGACTCTCGTTTTTCTCTCTGATTTTAATGAAGGAGATCGTGTCCCATCTCCACCCTCTTTCTCCAAATATATACATAGAGCAGACCTGTGGTTTATTTCTTCTGGGTTGTGCTGTTCAGCAAGGGCTTATTCACTCCTGCATGAACAAGATTGGTTTTTTTAATCTTGATTGATTTTATGGGGTCTAGGATTCTAGCATTTAGAAATGTCTTTGACTAGTGAAAATATTATGGAATGCTGGCAGGGACATTATAATTTGTAGAAACTACTGAGACAAATACCCTTTTCAGATGTTCATTGTGGCTCGAATGATCAAGTGTTTGCACATAGGGATTTCTCCATGCAATTGGGAACCCTGAAAAGGGTCACATGGATAGAAGAAGAAGAAGAGATTGGATTTATACCCCGCCCTTCACTACCCAAAGGTGTCTCAGAGCGGCTTACAAACTCCTTTCCCTTCCCCTCCCCACAACAGACACCCTGTGAGGTAGGCGGGGCTCAGAGAGCTCTTGACAGAAACTGCTCTTTTTCAAGAACAGCTCTTATCAGAACTACGGCTTGCCCAAGGCCATCCAGCCAGGTGCAAGTGGAGGAGTGGGGAATCAAACCCGGTTCTCCCAGATAGAGTCCACGCACTTAACTACTACACCAAACTGGCTCTTGATATAACTGGATAAAAGTGTGCATATAACAATGCTGGCGTTTATAGTCTCTCTGTCTCTCTGTCTCTCTGTCTCTCTGTCTGTCTGTCTGTCTCTCTCTCTCTCTCTCTCTCTCTGCACCAATGAATCCCTGTAGCTTACTGGAGGACCTTGGTGCTATTATCCCTGCTCCCCTCATACTACACTCATTGAACATTTGAAAGCACCTGATGTATGTGGAATACTGTGAATGCATGAAATGCTCAACATACGGTACGATGGGTGGAAGGACCAGTGATAGTATCTCTGGTACTCCATACTTGAATTATTTATACAACACTATCAGTAGTCATAAAGTCACTATGTTCAGTTTATGGCTGCAGTTTTTGTTGTGATTAAATGAAGGTGGAGTCACCATTGAAACCAGCAGCTCAAGATGAAAAGTACAGTCTTTCTTAATGTATTTCTTAACAGCAGTCCATAATGAAAAAAAACTAGCACGGATAGTTGGTAGTAGGAATGCACAGTAAGGTGTACAACATTAGACTTTTAAATTTATTTTCCCCCCATTTACTGGGATAGCAGTATGGCAACAGTTATAGTCCAGTGAAACGTCTCCAATGTGTCATTTAGAGATCTTTCTAAATCTTGAGCCGCTAGATTTCATTTTTGTGGGTCTTCCTACATCAAGAAAAGCTTCTTGCAGATTCCTTATTTGTAGCTAACCATAACTATCAGCCAAGTCCCCCAAACTCCATGATGTACAAAGCATGGAGAAGGAACATATTCACGGAAGTTGCAGTCATCTGCTGTGTGCTCTTTCCTTAGCGTCATGTGAGAAATGAAGAAAGTGAGCCAGCACAGAGACTGGGGGAAAGTACAAGGTTTTGGTAACAGAACAGCAGAACATCAGTACCAGCCTCCTTATTGCACTTTCTGCATTTTAATTCAATCTGCCCTTTCTTCTTCACATTTTTCTTATATTGGTAGTCTCGTTCCACTCAGGTACTGGGTTTGAGCTTATACACCTTTCGAAGACATACACTGAATTCCTCCAGTTTAAGTGATGCACTCCTGCAGCCTTATTTATGCTAATAACATTTATTCTGCATGCAAAGTGTTGGATGGGATGGCCAGATCTGTAGGGCAATTAAGTAGCTGGTCAGTTGGGCAAAGTTTGAAATATTCATCTCCAAAGGAAAGGAATTAGCAAAATACCTGTGCAGGGCACAAATGATGGGTCCATTCTCACAAAACCGCCATTTTTCTCATTTTTTGAAAAGGAAAGGAAAAGGCTCCAGTAACAAAAAGGGGAGGGGAAATGGCCAGGATGAGATTTTTTAAAAAACTGTCTAAGCCAATCACGGATGGGGGTATGCTGATGCAACTAAACCAGGAACTGGAGAACTTTCCTGAGATGACGGGACAGGATGAAAATTGAGTCAGCGTCCTCATAAATGTACATCTACAAACAGAAGTGTCTAAGATTCTGTCTGAATATGGCCAGTTAAAAAGATACTCAGGTGTTTTCCTTCCTTCTATAATAAAAATAAAATTTAATTAAAATATATCTTTCAAAAACTGTATTCTGCTGCTCACATTATTCCTCACATGCACTGCACTCTTTGCAAATAATTGTCAGTGCTGGAAGTTTCTTTCTGAAAAATAAGTGAAACAATATAATTTGCTCTGTTGCCAATATTATCATTCTGGAGCTGAATCTTTTACTAATTAGGAAGCTGAAAAGACTTTTTTTAAAAAACAAACCCAGATGTGTTCTTTCTGTTTTATAACAGAAGAAGATTCAGATACAGTATTTAGTTTGGGTCATTATGTATAAATAAGAAAAAACAAAAAAACAACAGCCAAGATTTTCTCTGATCTTCCCCAGCAAGAGTCAGTGCAGTTCTCTGTCTGAGACTCAGAGTGCCGCTGTTGGACAGAACGGTAATCTGAGAGGAAAGTGGAGGTCCGCTGATGCTTTCCACTGAGAATTTTCTCCGTCACATCAGGAAAACAGCGGAACACAGAGACATACAAACACATTCTTCGGGGAGAAGGAAACAACTGCAATGAGCTCAGGCTAATCAGACACTAAGGATTCAGTTCTGCAGATCCCCCTTGTCTTAGTGGAAATTTAAACTCTAGTGCTTCTCAGAAAGGATCAGGAAAATGAAGGGGACAGAAACCAGGTCTCTTGGAAGGCAAGTAATGCTTCTTGTGTTATCCTCTTTGTTCTGTATAGCTGCTTTGGAAGAGATTCGTTATTCCATCCATGAAGAGATGGCAAAGCACTCCACTGTGGGAAATCTTGCAAAAGATCTGGGACTGAATGACAAAGAACTGAGAAACAGAAACCTGCACATTCTTTCCGAAGGTAATGTAAGAGGTGAGTGTGATCATGCTTCCCCAGGATCAAATTCATCTAGTTGGAACCGAAGCGGTTTACACTGCTGCCAGCCCGCCATCTGACCACACCCACTAACAACCCCCAGGGTCTCCTGATCCCAACAAAACATTGTGGTGCATAAACGCACAATTGGTTCCTCACAACCCCTGTGGCAGAGATACACTTATGCACGTATCACTAACTGTTGTGGTTTTTTTAAGGAGCAAAAATGGAAGGGAAGGTTCAGACTTCCCTTCTGGCTTGAGACCTCAATGGAGAGTTCAGATATCCAGAAATGCAGGGAGAAATCAGACAATCCATAAACCTCAGACTTTCTCTGGTATCAGAAAACACCAATTCAGGGATGGGTGAGAACAGAAGGCCGATGACAAGGGAACAGGATATGGACAATGCTGTCTGCTCATGCATTTTAAAGTCAGAAGGGAACAGGAGTGACATCAGATCAAACAGCTTGTCTGATCACAGCCTCAGACTATGAAGATTCTACACTTTATGAAATGAAACGTCCCGTGTGTGGCTGCTAAGAAGGCAAAATTTAACGTGATATATATAAGCAAATGAAGAAGATTCCTGGTGTTCTGACAGAAATTTAAGCTCTTGTTCCAATCAGTTCGTAAGAAGAAATAAGGTGGAAGTCATGAAGAGCCAAATCAGTAGAGCACTCAGAAGGCACATTTTGCTTCTCTCGTTGCTGCTTCCCATCTGCCTGGCTGTTTCAGAACTCATTCATTATTTGGTCCCTGAGGAGATGGCAATAGGATCCATTGTGGGGAATTTTGCCAAGGATTTGGGACTGAATGCCAGAGAGCTGAGGATAGAAACCTGCACATTCTTTCCGAAGGTAAAAAGCAGTATTTCACTATCAATGCAGAAAATGGAAACCTCTATGTAAATGACAGGATAGACCGTGAGGGAATATGTGGGGACAGCACACTTTGTGTTATTAATTTTGAGGCTGTGGTTGAAAATCCTTTGAATGTTTTCCATATAAGTGTAACAGTTCAGGATATAAATGATAATGTACCCTATTTTTTGAAAAGCAATATCAGCTTTGAGATAATTGAGTCCACTTCAGTGGGAAGCAAATTTTACCTTGGGATGGCTGAAGACCCTGACACTGGGATGAACGCTCTCCAGAATTACCAGCTCAGTCCAAATCAATATTTCACTCTGGAAGTTAGAGAGGGAGAAGAAGGAAACAAATATGCAGAACTGGTTCTGCAGAAACCTTTGGATCGGGAAAGGGAGCAGACTCTTCATTTGGTCCTTCTGGCCTTGGATGGGGGAGAACCAAGAAAAACTGGGACAGCCCAGATCTGGGTTAACGTCACTGATGCCAATGACAACCCACCCAGTTTCACTCAGGAGGTATATAAGGTCAGCCTAAAGGAAAATACCCCTGTAGGATCCCTCTTGCTCCGAGTTGCAGCCTCTGATAGCGACGAAGGTTCAAATGCTTATATTACCTACAGTTTTAGTAATATCACTGGAAGAGCCTACCAGAAATTCAAGTTAGATCCACTAAGTGGAATAACTAGAGTTAAAGAGGTGTTAGATTTTGAAGAAACAGACAAATATTCTATGACAGTAGAAGCAAAGGATGGAGATGGATTAGTGGCACACTGTAAAGTTGAAATTAAGGTCTTGGACAGAGGTCGTTTCGTAGAAAAAGAGCTAGGGGAACTCATTAGCATAACTCATTAGCATATGCCACAGTATTTCACTCTGGAAGTTAGAGAGGGAGAAGAAGGAAACAAATATGCAGAACTGGTTCTGCAGAAACCTTTGGATCGGGAAAGGGAGCAGACTCTTCATTTGGTCCTTCTGGCCTTGGATGGGGGAGAACCAAGAAAAACTGGGACAGCCCAGATCTGGGTTAACGTCACTGATGCCAATGACAACCCACCCATTTTCACTCAGGAGGTATATAAGGTCAGCCTAAAGGAAAATACCCCTGTAGGATCCCTCTTGCTCCGAGTTGCAGCCTCTGATAGTGACGAAGGTTCAAATGCTTATATTACCTACAGTTTTGGTAATACTGCAGAAAGAGCCCACCAGAAATTCAAGTTAGATCCACAATTTGGAATAATTACAATTAAGGAGATACTGGATTTTGAGGAAACAGAGAAGTATATTATAGCAATAGAAGCAAAGGATGGAGGTGGATTAGTGGCACACTGTAAAGTTGAAATTAAGGTCTTAGATGAGAATGACAATGCCCCTGATGTGGTCATTGCCTCCTTATTCAGCCCAATTCCTGAAAACTCTTCTTCTGGCATCGTGGTCGCTCTTATCAGCGTAAAGAACAGAGATTCTGGAGAAAATGGAAAGTGTGATTGCCATTTGCAAAGTAATTTCCCATTTAGAATAGTTTCAACATCTAATAACTATTACAAGCTCCTCACAGAGGGTGCCCTAGACAGAGAGAAAACCCCACACTACAACCTTACAATCACAGCCACTGACAAAGGCACACCACCCCTTTCCACACACAAGACAATCTCCCTGCAGATTTCAGACGTCAACGACAACTCCCCTGCCTTTGGAGAATCTTCCTACCATCTCTTTGTGCCAGAAAACAACCCTTCGGGGGCCTCCATTTACACTGTCAAAGCCTCAGACCCCGATCTGGACCGCAACTCAAGAATCACTTACTCCATCCTCACCAGCAATATCGAAGACCTTCCTCTATCCTCTTATATGTCCATTAACTCTGAGACTGGCACCATCTATGCACAGCGTTCCTTCGACTACGAGCAATTTCGTGAGTTTCGCATTCAAGTGAAGGCCCAAGATGGCGGCTCCCCCCCTCTCAGCAGCAATGTCACAGTGTGGGTGTTTGTTGTAGATCAGAACGATAACAGCCCTCGGATCCTGTATCCCTCGAAAGGAGCTGATGGCTCATCCTTGTTTGAGATGGTTCCTAACTCAGCCGAGTCAGGCTATCTAGTGACCAAAGTGGTGGCTGTGGATGCTGACTCTGGACACAATGCTTGGCTCTCCTTCCATCTTCTCCAGGCCACGGAGCCAGCACTGTTCAGCATTGGATCCCACACAGGGGAGATCAGAACATCACGAGTCCTTCTGGAGGAAGATGCTGTGAAACACAAGCTGGTCATCTTAATTAAGGACAATGGGACACCTTCGCTCTCAGCCACTGTAACGCTGAACTTGGTGTTTGCTGAGAACTTTCAGGAAGCTCTTCCAGAAATGATCAGCCAATCAAGCAACTTGGATCATCAGTCTGAAGTCCAGTTTTATTTGGTGCTGGCTTTAGCTTTGATCTCCTTCTTATTTCTCCTCACTATGACACTTGCCATTATGATGAAAGTTCGACAGTCAGGAAATCCCAAATTCCTCCCACGTATTGGTCCAGATTCTTTCCCAAAAAACAATAGCATGTTCCCACCAAACTGTGAAGAAGGGACCTTACCCTATTCCTACCAGCTCTGTTTATCTTCTGAGTCTAGGAAAAATGAACTTACCTTCCTGACACCAGCTGTTCAGATTGTGGAGAATGTTTCTTGCAATAAATCCAGTGAACCTTCAAGTGGCAGTGTTGGGAACAACTTAAATTCCAATGTAGAAAATAATGACCAGGTGAGTTTTCTTTTCTGAAATTACTAACATTAAATCACATCCTTAGTAATTGTGAATGAAACTGTAGAAGGCAGAGAGTTTGATTCTGCTACCTCCATGTAGACATTTAATACGTATAGTTATTGAAGAGCTCCTGGTAGAGGTGAAATATATTTATTTATTTATTTATTTATTACATCTTTCACATTAGGCAAACTTTATACCACTGTGGTCAGTACACTTGAAAAATTAATATGGGTTGAATATTTAAACAGTTCTGAGTTATTCTGTTACAGTCACTTGAATAACTTTGAAGTATTGTGAGAATGGACATTTATTTGTTTGTTTACTTGTATCTATAGTAGTCTATATTTTTAAAACACCAAAGAACCATCAAAGGAGCAGGGGGAGAGGGGAGTACACGAGTTTGCTGTGGTGGTTTGTGTGTACCAGTTAAATTGCTGTAAGACATAGTACCTGGAAGCTGCAAAGAGTGGCACAATTTATTTCATGGACCAGCAGAGGTGGAGTTTCTTCAGCAATGGTGGTCACAAGCAGGTTGAGGCCAATCAGTCAGCCATAAAATAGCAGAATCATGCCTTTGAGTGCCTTCGGCATACTTTCCCTAATACAGGATGTAATGTATCCAAAGCAGAGGTCATTTCGGGGGGGAACCGGCCCTCATTTAGCCAGGAGGAGGCAGGAGAAGAGGGAGGGTAAGTTGCTTCCTCCCTGCCTCTCCCCACCCCTGCCTGCCTGGGGCCAGGGAGGGCCTTCGCGGGGCTTCCTTGCACTCCCACCAGCCTTGCAGGTCCACCGCCGGGCCCCTCATGGGGCTCGGCAGTGGAGCTGCAAGGCCGGCGGTGGCAGCTGGGACTGTTGGGGGTGGTGTGTGTGGCCTTATGACACACTTCCGGTGATGTCAGGGGATGTGGCCTTATGACACACTTTCGGTGATGTCAGGGGGTGTGGCATATGCTAATGAGTTATGCTAATGAGTTCCCCTAGCTCTTTTTCTACTAAACGACCCCTGATCCAAAGCATTGTCCATAGATGCTCCTTCCTCCATTTGAAAACCTCCAGGGAAGGAAATTGTTCATGATTCCTAAAACAGTGTATTTTATTCCTGAACTGTACCTACATGCGTTGACTAGGCCTCAGTTACTGTGACCTGCGATTACAAGAAGCCATAAACACTTAATTACAAAGATTTTAGATTTTATTTTATAACAATGTTAGGAGCTAACATTTTTAAAGGTGTAAACTGCTGGACAACACAGAATTTCTTTTCATTTTAAAAAACCAAACAGTAAATCTCCTAAGTACACACTTCTGTAATTGTTTATATTAGCACTGGAGTTTCATTGGTTTTTTGTGCACATGGAGAATAAGTAGCCATAATATGACTGTAGGAGAAAGAAAGAATGAACAGAACTTTCCTAGTAGCCTGCGGTTGTATAAATACTAATGCTTTTATTAAGAGATTGAGAAGGTAGAAGCTGTCATAAACTAATTATATTTTCCATAGGAGAATAATATGTAGTAATTGCCTTAACAGCATACTAATAAGTATAACCTACATAAAAGGGAAAAAATTAAAAGAGCACTATTACAATTATTAATAAAGAGATGTGATAAAAGTACTAAGCTGAGACAACGTGAGAACAAGATTTATTGTGAAATTAGTTCTTAGTTCATTGTTTATGGAATCAAACAAAATAGAAAGCTCCAGAGCTCAGAATGTGTGCAATTAGTGGCTGAGACTCTGAGTGTCGCTGTTGACCAACCAAGGCTGAGCAATGAGGAATTCCTCCATCCCAGATCAGCTGCTTCAGAGCTGAAAAAGCAGAGAGATCAGACCCAGGCAGAACATCGCTGCACAGAGAATCTGAAACAGAAGACCACGTTTCATTTGTAACAGGATATCTTGCACTTTCTGGCCAGATTCAGCCATTCCTGAAATATCAAAATAGCAAAGGGACTTCTCATAGAGCCAAGAATGCCAACAACAAAATGCCTGAAGGATTGCAAAAGAGGAGCTGTATTTTGCATGCTATTTGCTTCCATCTGCAGAGCCATTTCCAGACAGATTCATTACTCCATTCCTGAGGAAACCGAGAAAGGCTCTTTGGTGGGGAACATTGCAAAGGATCTGGGACTGGATGCAAAAGACCTTTCAGACCGTGGGATCCACCTTGTGTCCCAAGGAAGGAGTGAGTATTTTGCTTTGAATTATAAGAATGGCTATTTGTACACCACAAAGAGAATAGACAGGGAAGAGATCTGTGGTTGGCAGGAGACATGCATCTTGAATGCTGAGGTTATTGTTGGGGATTCCATGAAAGTCTATGGAGTTGAAGTGGAAATCATGGATATTAATGACCATGCCCCCACTTTCCAGTTAGAAACACTAATTATTAATATTAGTGAGAACACAGCACTGGGGTCCCGATTTCCACTCTATGAAGCTCAGGATCCTGATTTAGGAAACAATTCTGTACAGGGTTACAAGCTTAGCAACAGTAGTCATTTCTCACTGGTTGTAGAAACCTCAGTTAAGGGCAAACAGTATGCAAAATTAGTGCTGGAAAGGCCTCTGGACAGAGAAGAACTAGCCAGTCAAAATCTTATTCTCACAGCATATGATGGAGGACATCCTGCCAAGACTGGCACTACACAAGTTCATGTGGTAGTTCTGGATGCTAATGACAATGCACCCATCTTTAGCCAACGTATTTATGAAGTTAGTTGGAGGGAGGATATTCCTATTGGGACGACAGTAATAAGACTAAAAGCAACTGACTTGGATGAAGGAATCAATAAGCAAATGAAATTCTCATTCCATAAAATTGCAGCAGAAACTTCTCACCTATTCCATTTAGATTCAGACTCAGGTGAAATAACTCTTGTTGGGAACGTGGACTTTGAGGAGACTCCATTTCATGAAATGGAGGTCCAAGTCCAAGATGGCGGAGGACTGTTGGACAGTGCAACCCTCATGATAATTATTACTGATGTAAATGATAATGCACCAGAACTAGCAATAACTTCTGTTATCCACTCTGTCGCTGAAGATTCTCCAGCAGGGACATCTGTAGCTCTTTTAAATGTGCAAGATAAAGACTCTGCAGAGAATGCAGAAGTCACTTGCACTGTTCCAGACAACCTCCCCTTCCTACTGACAAAATCTTATGATAGCTACTACAGTTTGGTCACATCCAGAACTCTGGATCGGGAACAGGTGGCAGCCTACAATATCACAGTGACAGCTGTGGACAGTGGGACTCCTCCACTTTCTTCATCCACTGTTATTGCCCTCAAGATTTTAGACACCAACGACAATCCTCCATCCTTCCAGGAAACAGTTTATACTGTTTATATATTGGAAAATAATCCAAGAGGGGCCTCCATATTTTCCCTGAAGGCAGATGATCCAGACTGGGGGGAGAACTCCAGAATAACATATTCTGTTGGTGAAGAAGACATCAAAGTCTCCTCAGATCTTTCCATTAACTCAGAGACTGGGACTGTTTATGCCCTGCGTTCCTTTGATTATGAAGAGTTCCGGCAAATCAGCTTCCTGGTCAAGGCCCAAGATGGAGGATCCCCTTCACTCAGTTCCAGTATTTCAGTGACTCTGTTCATTCTGGATCAGAATGATAATACCCCAGAAATCTTGTACCCTTCTGTCCCCATCGATGGCTCCACTGGAGTTGAGCTGGCCCCCCACTCTTCTGAGCCTGGATATCTGGTCACTAAGGTGGTGGCAGTGGATGCAGACTCTGGCCAGAATGCCTGGCTCTCCTATCAACTACTCAAGGCCACAGAGCCAGGGCTCTTCTCCATAGGACTCCACACTGGAGAGATCAGGACAGCCCGCTTCTTTCTGGACAAGGATGCTCTCAAGCAAAGCCTGGTGGTTTTAGTGAAGGACAATGGGCAGCCCCCTCTGTCTGCCTCAGTCACGGTCACTGTGGTGCTGGCCGACAGCATCCCTGAAAGCCTCTCTGATATTAGCAGCATCTCAGCTCCTGCAGACCCCCAGTCGGACCTCACCTTCTACCTGGTGGTTGCTGTGGCTTTTGTCTCCTGCTTGTTTTTCACCTTCCTCCTTGTGTTGCTGGCACTCAGACTTCACAGATGGAGGAATTCTCAGCTATGCGATTCTGGTAGTGTGACTTTTACTGGAGTTCCAGTTTCACAGTTTATGGGGATTGATGGAGTCCAAGCTTTTCTTCACTCCTACTGTCATGACTTCTCTCTCACCACGGGGAAGAGCAATTTTGGCTTTCCAAAGGGTAACTTGTCTAATACTCTGCCCAGTCAACAGCCTTGTGAGATGAAGGATCCGTTTCTTCTGGCTGAAGATATTAACAGTAGTCATGGGGATTCAGCCACTACTCAGGTGAGCTGTGTCTGTCAAATGTAAGGATTCTGATGTTAAATAGTCTTTTAGTTTCCAATGCTATTTATGTTTGTTTTTCCAAAATATTGAGAGACGGATTGGAACATAAAATCGCTCATTTGAAGTGTGCACTTAGCAATCTAATCTTCATGGTTATGTGGGGGGGGAGTGTCTGTGTGTAGCTCCTGTTAAGTCATAACAAATACACTTGATTTAACTAGTGCTAAATTGTTTATAGGTGGACGGGATACAGATCTTTGTGAAATTCATCTACTTTCGATGTTTCTTTTCTAACTTTTTTGTAGTATAGTTACTTTGGTGTCTTCTTTTGGAATTTGATATTCCGGCCTTACAATATATTTCTCTCCTGGAAAGATTCCTTAGTTTTCATTATGAATGGGTATGAGGAACATTGATCCTCTTAAAGATTATTGCTGCATTATCCACCACATCCAAAACAGTCTTTCTTAGGGCTGCGGTCACACGCACTATAGTAGCATTACCTGAGTGGATTAAATGGGCCCTTCCAGATGAGAACATCTGCCTCACATGGTTGTCGGCAGCCTGTGATGTTCTGCAGTGGAAGTGGAATAAATAGATATCGGGGAAAGTCTGGTATTGGCAGGTGGTTCACAGTTCCCTCTGGGTTTTCGAACATCTGAACTCTCCTGCAGCAAAAGGAACCTAGAAGGGATGTCTGAACCAGAAGATCTGTTTCTGCTGCTGGGGTGTTGGGTTTTTAAAGTTTTTGCCTATATGTGCACAAGCACACATATGCACATGAACATGAGCTGGGCAGTACACTGCATGAGACCACAGGCAGTACACTGCATGTTGGTAACCCACAGCAGAGTGTACTGTTTGGATGATATGCCCTGCAACACTTTAAACCGGTACAAGTAGGGGTGCCACCATACCGCGCCAATCCGCCAGTGTGACCGCAGCCTAAATTGGACATTGATCCCTATAGTTGGTGTTATCAAACCTTTGCTGTCTGTAGTTTTGCACAGATTCAGGCTGAGATCTTTCCCAGCTTTGCTATCTGAGATTCTTTTTTTCCTGATGGAGCTTATGGGCTAAGTATGTTTTCTGTAACTGAGCAACACCTCCCTGACTCCTGATCTGTGGTCCTTTTCTTTATGCAGCTGGCCAATATTTCACCAAAGAGAACACAGTTCTATTTTTTATTTAGAATATTTATGTATCCCGCCTTTCTCCTGACAATAAATATAATACAAAGATATCCCTCTTTTATAATGATTAAATGAATAATTAAAAACAGGTAATTAAGATAAATATTATGTTTAGTATCGGAACTTAGGTGTTTACATTCTAGTTGGTAGCATATTTTCACAAGTTGGTATTCTAGTTGGTAGCATATTTTCACAAGTGACAGCACTCTGATTCGTGGCATTATGGCTGTCTACAGTCAACCTGAGATCGGACTAAAATGAAGATGTGTTCTGTTGGTGTTTATTGGAATACTGAAGATGAAGTCTAACCATCTCTTTATGCCATTGCCTCAGATATCTTTAATTAACTTGAGGTTGTTGTGAGCATATATAGCTGTCAATCTGTTTTTGTTGAGTAAAAAAGCTTTTTGTTGGTCAAATGGAAGAGCTTCCCTGGAAGAGTTGTGAGAACAATTTATCTCACTTGATTCAACTAGGAGTCCAATAACTTCATAAAGCACATACATCTCTCGCTGAATGTGACTGAAGATGACAAAAAGCCCATTTGGATGTGTGTTATAAGGCACTTTTTTAAAAAAAGAACATGTATGAATGTGAAGTTTCCGTATACCAAGCCAAACCATTAGTTCATCTAATCACATAGTCTGCATTCCGACTCGCTGCAGTTCTCCAAGGTTACAGACAGAAATCTTTCTGATAACCTTCAGCTAGAGATTGAACCTATTACCAGCATGCAAAGCAGTTTGCCATTGGATAGCAGGATCTCATTCAGGAAATTTTTTTCTGGTGATGAGTGAATTACTACAAGAAGGCTAAATGAGCATGTGCCTACAGCTCCAACTCTTGGCTTTTCTGGATGAATTTTAAAAAATTTTTAATCTATGTAATTTTTAGCTTCAGGATTGCACTTGGGGTCAGCACTGCTTTTGTACAACATAACCTAGAGGAGAACAGGTAGAATTTGCCTTGCTGATTCTTCTGCCCCGTTCAATGGCTTTTCAGAATGTGACCACTAGATTTTATTTGATGGGCTTGAAAAGCTCACACCCAAAGGAGTGCCTTCTTGCTGAGCCACTTGTTTTAGTGGACCATCCCTAGAAAGTTATCAGGAGAGATGCACATTTTGAATAGATGGTCTCAGGGGTCATTTCCTGTGGGAGCGCACAGGAGGGAAGCTCCGGCAGTAAAGAGCCCAGGGGGCGGGCACATGCAACAAGCCCCGCCACCTGCTCCCAGCAGCCCTCAGTTGGGCCACAAGAAGCAAGAAGCAGCCAGGTAAGTTGCAGAGCCCCCCCCCGTCTTCAGGTACGAGCTCTCCCTCCTCTTTGAGGGCAGATCTGCGCATTCCCCCCCCCCCCCCAATAGCTAGCAATCCAAAACAGTCCAGTGGAGCCTGAGTGGTGGGTGTTGCCTTCCAACACACTTCCGATGATGTCAGGGAGTGTGGCATATGCAAATAAGTTATGCTAATAAGTTATGCTAATAAGCTCCTGCACCTTTTTTTCTACAAAATGACCCCTGGATGGTTTTGAGAATTAGTATCTGGTATGCCAAGGTGAATATGCTCACCAGGCAAGCATACTTTGATCAACTGCTGCAACCTACTTATAAGCTTGTTATAAGTTCATCCTGTCCTCACTTCTTGCTGCCCAACTGAAGCACTGAGCCAAGCAGCTTGGCAACTGCACAATAACTGTGGTCGATATATTCCATTTCTTTATGGCTGCCTTTGCAGCTGTGCTGTAGAAGATTTCAGTCCCTACCCAGGGTCATGGTTGATTAGACCACGGAAGTGTTCCCTGTCTGTACCTGTGCAGTAAAAAGCATTATTTAAATGGAACTGCATTTAATACATTGTCCACTTTTGACAAAGCATCCCGTCTATTCTTCTAAAGTTAAAAAAAAAATGTTGTAAGTTATTTCTTTCAGTTACATGGATGGGGTGAACATTTAATACATTGTCCACTTTTGGCAAAGCATCCCGTCTATTCTTATAAAGTTTAAAAAACGGTGTAAGTGATTTCTTTCAGTTACATGGATGGGGTGAAATAACCTATGATGCCCATGAGACTGTGCAAGAATGTGCATGTGCAAACTGCTCTCAGTCATGGCAGTGTGGAAGCCATTGTTCAAGCTGTCAGACACCAACCAGGAAGGAAATCCATTTTCCCATGACTTGGTTTATTTCTTTGCGATTTTCATCATTTCCCCCCCTCTAAAAAACTGGCAGCAACGCCCAACAGCAAATAGGGGTGACAGCAGCAGCAGGGAGAAGGTTAATGTTGCTCTGCCTTGTCATACACAGGCTACTGTGGTGATTGCAACATGTGGCCACAACATGAGTTGAACCAGTGGATGCTCAAGCACATCTAACTAGGATCTGCTACTTTGAAGGGAGCAGCTATATCTGTTATTGTTTTATGGGGATACTGAGTGTCTCCCTCTTGGGAGTTAGGAGCAGTGTTCCCGCTACAGCTGAGTTAGTGTGAGCTAGCTCACAGTTTTTTAGCCTCCGGCTCACACATTTTTGTCTTTGCTCAGGAAGGATGACTCCAAAGCAAACTACTGTATGCAGTAGCCAAACCGCTCGCTCACAACTTTAATGTCAATAGCTCACAAAGTAGAATTTTTGCTCACCAGACACCACAGCTGAGAGGGAACATTGGTCAGGAGTATCTTGACACGATGACACCCAGCTCTAGCATCCTCTGCCTAGTGAACTAAGAACAATAGTAATGACCTTGAACATCGGGAGATAGTTGTTTTGGTTCATTAGTTTAAATCCTGAGCACTCTGTTATAGTTGTTTTGGATCATTAGTTTAAATCCTGAGCACTCTGTTAATTACTTGATGATGAGAGTGAATGATAAGAATCTCAATCAGAACTAGCAACTCCTTGGACCAGCTTCTTTGAAGCAGAAACTAGCAATGCAAAAATTCCCTGTGATGTGTCAGGACTGAACTAGCCACCCCCCCCCAACAATGTTTTGTATACAAATCCCTCCCTTTAGCAATGGTCAGTCAAAATAAATTTAATATTCATTGTGACATTTTCACATTGGAAGTATAATAGGCTAAATCAAGATTCCATAAGGTTTGCACACAAAAAAAGAAAGGGGAGGAAAGGGAATCTGCTAACATTGGTCCAGCTGTTACCATGAAGGTTTAGTACTAATTTCCTGAAGAAATTAATTGACTATGGATAAGAGACTGAATATAGAAGAGCTCCCAGGCCATGGAGCCCACTGTTACCCAGAGTAGAATTCAGCATGTTGCTTTTAATTGTGATGCTGTAGCTTCATGCCATGCAGATGGGATTGACAGAGAACTGATCTGTTGTAAGTTGGGAAAGTGCTAAATTTTGAGTTTATATCTGAAATTCCATGACAGATCTTAGAGTCGGAGATCATAGTTTTTAACACCAGTGATACAAAAATACCGAAATACCTGTTTGAATTATTTCTTCCAAAGTATAGAAGGGCATTTATGCTTGGACATTTGAATGCTTTGGCATCAGCAGTGTTATTAGGAGGGTCTAATGGTATTCCATAGATTCTCCGGGTGTGGTATTAACCGAATTAACTCTATAGATCATCTTCTTTTGGATTGCCTTGAATCTTCATATTTGAGAGTAGAATTTAGTTTTCCTTTGCTTAAGGAGGACTCTGTCTCTCTAGAAGCTAAATCTTCTTGGTTACTAAGAGATGAAGACAAACAAGAAACTTTGTGTATGGCTAAATTTTTGGTGGCTGTAGTAAAATCGCATTGTAACTAAGGTAGTAAAACTTAGGCTTCGTTTTTAGTGTGTGATGACTCACTATTTATGACTTTTCATGAAAACAGTCATGAAGAAAAAAAGTTATACTTTACCATTAAAGAAAAAATATTCTCTATAGAAGGCAAGCATTTTCATCACTTTCTTAAAGGGAAACTACAAAGCAAGGAAATGGAGTCTGAATTCCAGAGAAACCACAGGAAATCTTCTCAACTGCCCCTCTGAAGATCAAATTCCAGGAAAATAGCTCTTGAGGAAATACATGTAAGTAATAGAACAACGTTTGAGTCCAGTGACACCTTTAAGACCACCAAAGTTTTATTCAAGATATAAGCTTTTGTGTGGATGTACACTTCTTCAGATATTAAAGTTGCCACTGGACTGAATCTTTGTTCTATTACTTCCATGTACCACCAGAGCTGCCCACCTGAATCTATCTCCATGGAAGTAACGTTTTGATTTATATGCACTGTATTCTTGGTGCTTGGGGGGGAGCAACAGTGGGAGGGCTTCTACTGTCCTGGCCCCACTGATGGACCTCCTGATGGCACCTGGTATTTTTGGCCACTGTGTGACACAGAGTGTTGGACTGGATGGGCCATTGGCCTGATCCAACATTGGCTTCTCTTATGTTCTTATGTTCTTATATTGTAAAAGATTTTTCTTGCAATTCCTTCTTGATCCTCAAAGTGCCGCTATTGGACAATGTGAGCTGGAAAGAGGACAGAGAACCCGTAATGCTTCCTACCTTGTGATAACCGATCACAGAAACAGCAGAGCAAAGAGCAGTCTTGATGAAGCAAAGAAAAACCGTTTTGATTCATGCAAAATAAGAAGGGGAAATGGTTGATTATTCCTCACAGTGATTTTCTGCATCCTCATGAGAATCTGATCTGATTGTAAGACTGAGGGGAAAGAAAGCTAATTTGTCTGGGATCCAGATGGAAAGGAAGCACAAAGGGAATGGCCGGGCACTTGGAAGGCAAGTACTGCTTCTCTCTTTATTGTCTTTCTGGAGCTCGGCTGCCTCAGAGCAGATTCAGTATTCCATACTTGAAGAGATGCCAAAGGGTTCTATTGTGGGAAATCTTGCCAAGGATTTGGGACTGAATGCTAGAGAACTTGCTAAACGCAATCTGCATGTTGTCTCTGTGACTAAAATACAGTATTTCAGTATCAGTGCAGAGAATGGAAACCTCTTTGTGAATGACAGAATAGACAGGGAGGGAATTTGTGGCAAAAATCAACATTGCCTTGTAAATTTTGAGATGGTGATAGAAAACCCTCTCAATGTTTTCCATATAACTGTGGCAATTCAGGACATTAATGATCATGCACCACAGTTCCTCAATGGCAACATCTACTTGGAGACAAGTGAAGTAACATTGCCAGGCACCAGATTTCTCATTGGAAAAGCTGAAGATCCTGACATTGGGATGAATTCTCTGCAGAATTATCAGCTCAGCACCAATCAGTACTTCATTTTAGAGGTTAGAGAGAGACAAGATGGAAATAAATATGCAGAACTTGTGCTTAAGAAACCACTAGATAGGGAAACAGAACAGATTTTACATTTGGCCCTAACAGCCCTGGATGGGGGTGAACCTAGAAAAACTGGGACTGCCCAGATATGGATTAATGTTACTGATGCCAATGACAACCCACCCATCTTCACTAAAGAGGTCTACAAGGTTAGTTTGCTGGAGAATGTGCCTGTTGGATCTCTTGTACTCCAAGTTGTAGCTTCTGATAATGATGAAGGTACAAATGCTCAGATCACATATCATTTCAACAATGCACCAATGAATGCCCATCAGAAATTCAGGCTGGATCCAGCCAACGGAACAATCACTCTTATTGAGTCATTGGACTTTGAAGAAATGGAAGAATATACTATGACTGTAGCAGCAAAAGATGGAGGTGGATTAGTGACCCACTGCAATGTTGAAATCAGTGTTCTTGATGAAAATGATAACTCTCCAGAAGTTAATTTAGCCTCTGTATTTAGCCCTATTCCTGAAGATTCTTTGCCTGGAACTTTGATAGCTTTAATTAACATCAATGACAAAGATACAGGTGATAATGGAAAGGTTGTTTGCAGTTTGCAAAGCAGTTTGCCCTTCAAAGTTGTTCCAACATCTAATAATTATTACAAACTCCTATTAGACAGTCTGCTAGACAGAGAAAGCATTTCTGAATATAACATTACAGTTACAGCCACAGACAAAGGGAACCCCCCTCTATCAACACACAAAACCATCTCAGTACAAATCTCTGATATCAATGACAATTCCCCTTCTTTTGAGAAATCTTCCTACACCATCTATGTGCCAGAAAACAAGCCTTCTGGTGCATCCATATTCAGTGTGAAAGCCTTGGATCCAGACATGGACCAAAATGCACGAATCTCATATTCCATCCTCCACAGCAACATCAAGGAGCTCCCCATCTCTTCATACATCTCCATTAACTCTGAGACTGGAGCTCTCTATGCCCAGAGGTCCTTTGACTATGAACAGTTCAGAGAGTTCCAGCTTCAAGTGAGGGCCCAAGATGGTGGTTCTCCCCCTCTCAGCAGCAATGTCACAGTGAGGGTGTTCATCATGGATCGGAATGACAACACCCCACAGATCTTGTCCCCTTCACAAGAAGCCAAGGGCTCAGCCTTGTTTGAGATGGTACCTCGTTCTGCTGAGGCAGGATATCTGGTCACAAAGGTGGTGGCCGTGGATGCTGATTCTGGACACAACGCCTGGCTTTCCTACCATGTCATTCAAGCCTCTGAACCAGGATTCTTCACTGTTGGTTCTCACACTGGTGAGATCAGGACCGCAAGGGCCTTTGTGGAGAAAGATGCTGCGAAACAGAAACTGGTCATTTTGGTGAAGGATAATGGCCAGCCGTCTCTCTCAGCCACCGTGACATTGAACTTGGTGTTTGCTGAGAACTTTCAGGAGGCCCTTCCAGAAATGAAGAACCAGTCCAGCAGTCCTGACTATCAGTCTGACCTGCAGTTCTACCTGGTGCTGGCCTTGGCTGTGATGTCGTTCTTGTTCCTCTTGACAGTGATCCTGGCCATTCTGATGAAGCTTCGAAGATCAGGGAATCCCAAATTCCTGCAGTGCTTTGCTCCTGTTCCCCATTCAAAGGGTGGAGCCATCTTCCCACCAAACTTTGAAGATGGGACTTTGCCTTATTCCTACCAGCTGTGCCTGTCCTCAGAATCCAGGAAGAATGAATTCACTTTTCTAACCCCCAATGTTCAGATTGCAGGCAGTGTTCTTGGCAATAACAACTTGGGTGTTCCTTTGACAGGCAATGAACAAAACGATTTAAATTTAGAGTCGGAGAATACTGAAAAGGTAAGCTATCTTATCAGGAATTATTTCAGTGCGCGCTCTGTAGCCAGTTACCATACCATAATTGTAACAGAATTATCTATTGTTGAGCTGGTGTATCTATGTCTGAGTTTTCCAGTTCTTGCCGACTCCATCTTTGGAAGTAAATAGATTGACCTCTGTTTTATCTTTTCTATTAGGCGTAACTGTAAAACTATTATGCCACTGTAGCCACTGTCAATACATACTCTTCCAAAATTGCATTACATACAATAAGAATAATTGTATTCTTAGGACTTTTGCTTATGCAAGCAGGGATTGGTTTGTGGCTCAATTATTTTGCTCTCCTTCACCCTTCCTTCCCAGTTGGCCCTTTTGGGGTGTCCCTGGCCTTTCCTGCCTACTCTGTCCTCCTCAGGGCCCCACTTGCCAATACTCTGAGCAGGTGTAAGATGGGCTGGGGCTTTGTGGAAGAAAGGGATACATGAGTGAATGCATAGAAGAGGCACATGGGATTCATGTCCCAGGTAACTCAGCAAACTGTTGTTGCTGGGTCACACAAGGGCCAGTGACAAATTGGGAGAGCACAACTGAGATCTCTGCCAATCTGTTCCTGCATATGCAGCTGTACCCACATAGGTACAGGTTTTTGCCTTTTTAAAAGATTTGTTATTGCCGAACAAAGCCGTTTCTTGGGCATGGTCTGTTTATGTTATAAATAGAAGCGTTTCTTAAAACCTTTGCTTATTTAAAGAATTGACAACATGATAATAAATATTATAATGACAGTGGGGGATAATGGGGCTGCAGTGGCACAAGTGGTTAAGACACAGAACTGCAGACCGGAAGGTCGGTAGTTCAGCAGTTCGAGACCCGGGTGCCGCAGGACAGAGTGAGCTCCCGTCTCCTGCCCCAGCTCCTGCCAACCTAGCAGTTCAAAAGCAAGAAATTGCAAGTAGATAAATAGGTACCGCTTTGGTGGGAAGGTAACAGCGTTCTGTGCGCCTTGGTGTTTAGTCATGCCGGCCACATGACCATGGAAACGTCTTT